CCCGCTGTAGGCGAAATGCATAAGTTTGTTGTTATAGAAGCGCCCTCTATTTACTCAAACGAATATTAAAGGAATAAAGAGAAGCAAATGAGTATTTTAGTCGAGCATATGAAACCTTCTCTTAGGCAAATATTCTATTGTCTTACTTACTCCTATTAAAGGTACCATATTTCATTTTCTTGGTTCGAACCTTTGATCGTCAGTCACAGAAAATATTTCACAAAATCATCATTTTTGCCGCGTCGTCACCCACGAGAAAAATTTGTTTAAACGCTCCGTCTTTCACAGTAGCCCCCCCAGTGACACAGCGGTCTGTCTGCGGACTTACAACACTAACAACCGGATTTTGATACCCGTGGTGGGCAGAGCACAGATAGCCCTTGTGTAGCTTTGTGCTTAGCTACAAACAAACGAAACAAATTTCACAGTAAATACAGTATATATATATACAAATTCTATTTAAATTGGTAAGGGGGCATGACCCCCTTTAACTACGTCACTGTTTTAAAATGCACTGAAGTAGATTACAAACCCTGATCACAACTTTCATCCCAAGATTTTAGAAATATGCATCACTAGTTTTGTTGTTTCTTTAAATCAATAATTTAAAAGTTATCAGAACTTTTATCATATTATCAGGAAAGCAGTTGACTTGCTTTATAAAGTTGGAAATGGCAAGCCTGTTTAATTAAAGATCAGTTCGGTTACTTTACTAAGTGTTGTCGATTTGTTGCAATGAGTCAACTTAAGGATACGTTGATCAGAGTTAAATGAGGTATAATTTCTCCAAATAAATCAATAGCGCCTCTTAATGTTTTAAAATTTAAGCCTGTTTGTCCGTGGTATTATAGTGAGTGGCCATTAAAATTCACATACATATGTATCTGCTTGGAATAGTAAGTTTCCTGTGCTTCTTCACCTTATAGATTTTAACTTAGGAACGCACGAGTCTTTTCGCGTACTTGCTGGTCCGTGCTCGTGATTACAAGTTTCAAACACCTTGATCGTTAGCTCCGGGGTTGACGTTATTATGATTAACGAAATACCGCTATAACCAAGCTTGAAATCTTTTAGATAATTAAATCTGCAGAGCGATTACTCAGTCCATACTGCCTTAGACTTGAACAAAGTTATCTTAACAATAATAAATCCTCGTAAGTATAGCAAAAATATTAGATATACTGAAACTTGTAAGATTGATTGTAAATTAAACGACAAAGGTAACCTATTTATTTCTTATTTACTTGTGATAAATATGGTGAAATGAAGGAAACGCTCTTTTATATTGCACGAGTTGAACAATATGGTAGAATCTTAATCCTCATAAATTATTTCTAAAATTGTATATAATACGAGACGGATTATAATTTGGTGAAATACATTTTACGTGTACGTATGCACACAGAGGGTTGAGTAAGTTATATTGAAACGAGTTTGAATTTCGAAATCAACAAGTCACGTTACACCGACAACCAATATAAAGTCGCGGTGGAATGGAATGTATCAGAACTACATTTTGACATTGTTTGGAGTTGCGTAGGTAGTGTGACGTCGCTGAAAGTTTGTCGCTTTTTTGGAAGGGTAAGTAATAGCCCTTTCCGATGCAAAATATTCAGATTATAAAGATCGGGGACTTAGAATTTCCAATACAGAAATATCCCTTGTAATTAATGTCATTGGAAAACAAAGGAGTATGAATCACCTTCGGGAACCAGGACCATTCAGAAAGAGACCTGCGACAAGTCGTACTCCAGCCGTGGGAAGCTAAATGTGGCATCTTGTAACAAGTGAAGAACCACGAACAAAGAGGTCAGTGGCAAAAGTCCTATACGTGTCTATGGCGACAACATCACACAACAAGATTTTTCAAGAAGAATCTCTTTCCTCTGAAAAAGCGACAAAAGTTATTTCCACACTTCCACTACATATCCAGATAAAGAAGACAAACTGAAAAAAAAAACTGTATGAACGGCGAAAATCGACGAAACGTGTGTGTATCTTGAAAGCATTAACAAGTATCGTGCCATTTCTGGTGCTCAAAAAAATATCCAGAAGTGATACACAGCATATCGCGAAACTATTTCAAAGGGATTCATTACCATCTGGTTATTACGCCAGGAGCAAGTTAAGGCTCAGTTGGGTGGACACATAGGTTAAAGTGAGCTCTGGTTACTACCAAGCCGATGTTCTATACCTTATTACCACACAGAAATACCAGCTTTCTACATAAACGGGGGCATCATTTTACTCCATACGAAAACATATCAGTGAAGTCGCCGGATTTTCATATAATCAGACTGTTAAAACGGACGCTGGGAAACTGTCGTCTTTGCATAAAAGATGGATTATGAACAGCTTGGAAGGAAGATTGATGTTCTTTGGATATGACAGTCGTACCACAGGGAATTTTGCAATGAAAAGTACGCTGCACGATAAACACAGCGTAACCGGACCGTGGCAATATTGGCTGTAACCAAGCGATGAGGCACCAAAATCGTTTTAATGTAACGTATCCAACCCCCTGTATATATATGAATATTTCTTATGTTATTTGTGTTGAGTAACATTGTGAATTACTTATATCGTGTTAATCTATTGTTGATCTTAAGCGACACGAGGTTCCGATTTGAATGGTTATATTTAAATGTATTAATACCTTCTCTTTACTACAAGGAAATTTGACACAGTTTAAGAGTCCTCGTTTCAAGGTTAAACGTAGATCGAGACTTATGATGCTTTAACGAAGCTTATACTTACGGAACGTATTTATTTAATGGAGGATGATGTCATTTGTGATATCATCATTCAAATCAGAATAACCGTTCTTTTATCTCTGAGACAATACCGCCTTTTCAGTTTCTTATTGTTCTTGGTAGTTACTAATGATTTCTGAATGTTCTAATTAGGGCTTTTATATAGTAGCTTGATAGTCTTTGTACGAGCACCCATCCATATACAATCTGACATTATTCAGTTGTTGCCTTACATTCACCGGTAAATACAGAGAAAATGGTAACTTCTTGTCCTATAGACTTTGTTTAGTCTGTTCGGAGGGAATATTCGTCTGTGACAGCTGTATTCAACGTTTCGTGTAGGTCTTTGTTTAGTCAGTTTGGTCGGAATATCCGTCTGTGACAGCCGTATTCAACGTTTCGTGTAGGTCTTTGTTTAGTCAGTTCGGTGGGATTATCCGTTTGTGACAGCCGTATTCAACGTTTCGTGTAGGTCTTTGTTTAGTCAGTTTGGTGGAAATATCCGTCTGTGACAGCCGTATTCAACGTTTCGTGTAGGTCTTTGTTTAGTCTGTTCGGTCGGAATATCCGTCTGTGACAGCCATATTCAGCGTTTCGTCTTAGTCTTTGTTTGTTCAATTCGTACACCATTCGCTTTACTCACGTGTGTCGTGTTCACAATGTTCGACCTTTGTATAATTGCTCGTACAAGATACACACATACATGCTTGTTAAGCCTTTCCGTTTTGCATGTATAAACGTATATTTAAATGATTATAATTTACCTCATTATTTATACCTCTTCACGACTACAGTTTTATTAGGTAACCACGCTTGATCAGGCGATTACTACACCTACCCTGTAGTTGTATATATATATATTGATGAAACTGCAAAAATCAAATGTTGTGACGTCTGTGCTTACAGCTAATGATCGGCAGAGCTGACGCTTCCCCGATTCTCGAATAATAATACCAAAAACTACAAATTATTTTCCGAATAATAATACCAAAAACTACAAATTATTTTCCGAATAATAATACCAAAAAACTACAAATTATTTTCCGAATAATAATACCAAAAACTACAAATTATTTTCCGAATAATAATACCAAAAACTACAAATTATTTTCCGTAATTATGTAAAAAACTCTAATTAACGTCGTTCTTCGTGAGTTTTTCTAGTGTGAATAAATGTAGCGGAAGGAATACGATTCGTTGTCGTCATCAGAGTTTCTCTACAAAACGGCTAGCGCCCTCTAGTGATTTTTAGTACTGAATGATACAATAAAAACTGTACGCAGTTGTAATATTTGCCTTGATTTTACGTTTGTTATTAAATACAAAGTGGGTTATCTGTACTGAGCTACAGTGTGCGTGCGTGTGTGTGTGTGTGTTGGGGGGGGGGGGGACATTCTCCACGAGTTTATTGGCTACTTGTGTGTATTTGTCTAATGCTGTGGCACGTTGATTATATATTTGTTGTTAGGCTACGTAATGGGCTAACAGCGCTCTGTCCATCGCGGGTATCGAAATCCAGTTGTTGTTGTTTTTTCCAGGAGGGGGCGAGATGTACTAAGATACAGTTTAACCTTCGAATTACGGATTTGTATATATACCTGTTTTAGCCACCGGTGGGGTCCAAATATTGCATCGTATTGAGTAAAGTTTTGGTTTTTACTTGTTACAATATTCTGTGTAAACAAAGTTGGTGAAAACCTTTGTTTTCTATTTAAAATAATTACGGAATCCCAACAGTAATGAGGAGGATAGAGCGATGGTATTTTGTCTACATTGTATGTTTTTAATTATGCACAAAGCTACACAAGGGCTATCTGTGCTCTGCCCACCACGGGTATCGAAACCCGGTTTCTAGCGTTGTAAGTCCGCAGACATACCGCTGTGCCACTGGGGGCTACATTGTATGTGTGTGTGATTAGGAACCTTTGTAACCAAGAAAGTCATAGATATACAAGATGTTTGGATTAAATATAAATAAATGTACCCGATCGGTAATTCTAGGGTTAAATACACATGATTGAAACAGGCAAAAATAATTGTCATAGACTATATGTAATTGGGTTAAAACATAATTAAGTTTGACTTAAACCTTTTAGATCTGTAACCTATTTTCTACGATTTAAAAATACGTTTTAATGCAATCGTAAATTATTCGGACCATAAAAAAAAAAACCTTCGCTTTAATACTATCCATCTGTTTATCTGTCTGTTGTACATGACTAATAATCTTGTTTTCTCCACCTACAGTGGTTTTGGTTTTGTTACATTTGCCGATCCCAATAGCGTAGACAAAGTTTTAACCAACGGACCTCACGAACTTGACGGTAAAAAGGTAAGTAGTTACCATGGATACGAGTCACTTCAGTCGATAGCAATGCATGTCATATCTATAAGAAAGTGTAAGACGAATAAAACCAGGTATATTTCTTGAACACTGGAAGCTAGTGATTTCAATAGATGTAAAACAACACCGTCTTGAATTGTTGAGGATGTGAAGGAGTCCTGCATAGTTTTAAAAAAAGCTTCGCTTAAATTTACTGTCGAGTGATGACGTATTGATAAGCTTCGGGTGTCATACAAGAATTAGATACACCATAGTTCTAAACATATAAAGATATACACTGATTGAAATTATCGTTTAATAGTTTTTTCCTATTACATTTTTATGTTTTAATTGTTTAGGAGAGAAGATATAGTCAAGAAATAAAGGTTTTATTGTACTTTATTATTAACGTTATGAATTGATTAAAAATTATAAATAAAACATGGCAATATAAATTCTAAATTTTATAGGTTTTTTTTTGTCTTTTTTAATTCACCATACAATAACCTTAATTAATTTAGTTATGTGAATAATATTATGGCATTGCGCCTAACTTATCATTCGAAATTATACAGCGGACCAACTGATTAATGATTATATTAAAGATTTCTTTTATTTTCACCAAAAGTAAGATTGAAAATATTACATACACTTCACCATTATACGAGGCCTAACTTTATGTCTTTGGTTTCCTGGCCCAAGCTGTCGACGAATCAAAGAATACGTTAGGCTTCTACATCATAGATAATATTTTAAATTTTACTTTTGGTGAAAACAAAAAGTCTGTAATTCTAATTCATATTGATTCGAATATTTATAGAATTGTGCCTGAAATTCATTTTCCTTTAGATTAAATACTTTGTTTTCTCGTGATAAAGTTATAAAATGTAACAATGTTGTTGTTGTTTTTCTTGCATTCCTCTGCACTGTTTTCTAACATTGCTTTATTGTTGTCTTTTAGATAGATCCAAAGATTGCCTTTCCCAAACGGGCACACCCAAAGGTAGGCCATAAACCTGTTATTTACCCATTTGCCCATAAAAGACGTGTTTATGTACGCTATACGTGACTGAGTTGCGGACACATTTTTATTCTATGATAAGACAACTTTTGAAAGTGTGATACGAGTCGGTCGTGGCTTAGTGGTTAGTGTGTTGGACAGTGGATGCGAGGGTCCATGGTTTGCATCCCGTTGTTGAAAAATACAAGGAATAAAATGCGCTCATTACGTTGGGGCTGTGGATGTGTTATAAGAGTAAAGGTCAGATCTCACTATTCGACTATAATAGCTCAAGTGTTATTTCTGGTTGCGGTTGACCAACTGCCTTCCCTCTAGTCTGTCTTTCAGAATAAAATTAGGTACGGCTGGCTTAGATAGTCTATTTAGAGTTTTAGACGAATGAAACCAAACCAAACTTAAGATGTGTTAGAGATGGTCTACATTATACTTGGACTAAGTTGTTATTTTTTGTAGAAAGTGTTAAGTTAAGGATGTGTTAATGGAAACAGTTGGATGTGTTATATTTTCTTAGCTATGCGATGATATGAAGATCGTTTTTAAGTTATATGAATTTATTTGGGGGAGAAATGCTTAAAAGTTTTTATGAAATTTGACTCCGGTTTTGTGCTATTAAATCAGTATTATTCTACGTTTCGCATTGTTTCTAAAGTCGAATATTGGGTGCATAACCCATGGTTTCATGGATACTGTCCGTGTGAGATTTATCTATATTTATACGTTATAGAACTCCCCATAGACTTCATCGTTAGAACTCCCCATAGACTTCATCGTTGGTGATGTATAATGAGAGAATGTTATGTTAAACTTGAGTCACCATTTTTAATTGATTCGTAACATAAGTATTTGCTCTCTTCCTTTTCCACAAGTTAACTAAAAAAAAATGTTTGTTGTTAAGCACAAAGCTAGACAGTTCTTTATTTGTGCTGTGCACATAACGGGCATCGAAACCCAATTTTAGCGTTATAAACCTTCATTTCTACTGCTGAGCCACTTGGAGAGGAACAATTAACTAAAAGAACATTGCGTCTATGGTTTTTTCTTTTCGGTTTTGACACAACATCTGTGGTTGTACGGAAGTCATGTCTTACATGGTAGGAACTACTTATGGTAAACACAACTATGCCGAATAACATCTGTTTCTTGTAACCTAAAGCCTCACGCATGGCCTACACACGTGACTCACATGTCGGTACAAACTTAGGCCTACTCTTAGCTGTTTTAGTGATTATATTAATATACTGTGTGTAGAATCTAACCTTGAGCCGGAAAATGGCCACTATTATACAGACAAGTAGACGAGACAAAACGTTTACACACAAAGCAAGTTAGCTAACACTGTAAGTCGAAGGAGACGAGCAAAAATAACAATACCCCCCCCATAAGAAAACAAAACCCCATCCCTAGTAGTGTAACTTATTAAGAGTATAATATACTAACAATGATATAGTTGATATTCTTAAAAAAAAGTTTTATTTGGACTTCATTTTTCCCACGCATCTTGTTGTTAATCTTGTTATAATATTAATGAGTTTTTAGTTTTAGCGATTCTATTCATACTATAGATATTTAATTCAAGACGCTCTGGACCTCTGGTGTATATGAAAAGCTAGTAACATGGTACAAGTGGCCAGAGTTGAACTCGAATGCTTTCCTTCCAAGCCATCTTGATTTATACAACAAAGTCTTGTTTATACATGCAATCTTGGTTTATACACCAAAGTCTTGTTTATACATGCAATCTTGGTTTATACACCAAAGTCTTGTTTATACATGCAATCTTGATTTTTACACCAAAGTCTTGTTTATACATGCAATCTTGATTTTTACACCAAAGGCTTTGTAATAACGTCATCTTGATTTATACTCCAAAGTCTTGTTAATAACGCCATCTTGATTTATATACCAATGTCTTGTTTATACACGCTATCTTGATTTTTACACCAAAGTCTTGTTTATACATGCAATCTTGATTTATATACCAAAGTCTTGTTAATAACGCCATCTTGATTTTTACATCAGATGCTTGTTAATAACGTCATCTTGATTTATAAACCAAAGTCTTGTTTATACACACCATCTTGATTTATATACCAAAGTCTTGTTTATACACGCCATCTTGATTTATACACCAAAGTCTTGTTTATGCACGCCATCTTGATTTATACACCAAAGTCTTGTTTATACACGCCATCTTGATTTATAAACCAAAGTCTTGTTTATACACACCATCTTGATTTATATACCAAAGTCTTGTTTATACACACCATCTTGATTTATATACCAAAGTCTTGTTTATACACGCCATCTTGATTTATAAACCAAAGTCTTGTTTATACACACCATCTTGATTTATATACCAAAGTCTTGTTTATACACGCCATCTTGATTTATAAACCAAAGTCTTGTTTATACACACCATCTTGATTTATATACCAAAGTCTTGTTTATGCACGCCATCTTGATTT